GGTCTGTATGCTGGAATTAGCATAACAGAGATGTGATCCGAGTACCCTAGGTGGGGGCGGGGTACAGCCTTGTACGCGTTCTTTTCTGTTGTGTAAACAAAGTCCAGTGTGTTTTTTCCCCTTGTTGCAAAGTTCACATGTTGGTAGAACTTTGGCAACACTGTCTTTAAGTTTGCGTGGTTGAAGTCACCGGCTATTATGAAAAAGCCGTCAGGGTTATTGGTTTGTTGTTCGCTGATGGCGATGTACAGCTCGCGAAGCGCGTCCTTAGCGTTTGCACACGGGGGGATGTAAACTGCGACAATAACAATGGCCGTGAACTCCCGCGGCAGATAGAACGGTCGACACTTCACAAACATAAACTCCACCAGCGATGAACAGTGTTTTGTCACTACCACAGCATTGTTACACCACTCTTTGTTGACGTACACACACAAGCCACCCCCGCGAGTCTTACCAGACAGTGCTGTATCTCTGTCCGCTCGGTAGCAGCTGAGTCCGTGCAGCTGAATAGCGCAGTCCAGGATATTGTCGTTTAGCCATGTTTCAGTGAAGACAAACACACAACAATCCCTTGTCTCATGCTGTGTAGACCGACTGAGTTGAATTAAGTCCAGTTTATTTTCCAGAGAGCGAACGTTTGAGAGCATGAGTGATGGAATCGCTGGTCTAGTGGGGTTAGCCCTTAGCCTAGCTCGTGTGCCTCCACGCTTGCTGCGCTTCTGTCCCCTCTCACATCGCCGGTGTCGCCGTTTTGTGCGGGTAGCGTCAGTAGGCGAGGCCGCGGTCCCGGGGTTCGGCTTCAGCAGCAGACAGAGGCCTCGTAGCTTCTCAGTAGTCACCGGCGAAAGCTGTTGTTTGTACTCACTGCCGATTTCCAGAAGGCTCTGTCGATCATAGATGTGTTTCCGAGTGTTTATCTGTTGATTTTGCGATAAGATGAGAGTGTATTCAGTAATACACTTTATAATATATAGATGTACATGTGATAAGATATGGTACTGCATGTGTAAAAATACTGTATATTGAACATATATTCATGCAGTATACACACACACACACACACACACACACACACATATGTAGATATATATTTAACAATCTAAATAAAATAAAAAATAAAAATAAAAAATATTTATGATATAAATGTTCCATATTTTACAATATAGCTAGCTTACAATAGCATAAGCTAACTTGCTCATAATGAAGCACTCAGTGAATAGACTAGCACAGTGCACTACCATTAGTTTTTAAATTATTAACAAATATTTTAACACTATTCGGCCAGTCCTCATCCTGACCACAGACTCTACTCTTCTGCACAATGGTAACCCCACAAACGTACACATACCAGAAATCCTTTTACATTTCAAAATAATACAACATTAAACACTAACAGATATCCCCCTGTATTAATACTGAGCAAAAACACATGAAATAACGCTTAATTTTAACATTTTTAATCTCCAGAAGCAAAGCATGCTGGGAACTAGAAATCCGCTGTAACTCATTTCGTGAATGTGTGTATATATGTGTGTATATACATTCACATTTATATGGGAACATCTATGGGCAATTCATACTCAATAAAGGATCAAGCGATACATATTTATTTTTGTCATTTCTAAATATATTTGTATGTATCAATATATAGCTATATATTGTCAATGCATATGCTGTATATTGAAAAATATAAGCACTAGTTTCCAATATATGGAAATGTATTATGTAATATATCGTGCAGTATATTACCATCTATTTTTGTTTCGTAAGGGGTAATATAACCTGTTTGTATTAGACTTTTGCAATGTTGTCTTAATCAAAATGTTAACATTGAGGGATAATATTTCAAAGTGATTTACGTAATTTTGTCGGGTTACAAATATTGAATCACTGCTAATAAGGAAGTAACAAGGGGAGACAACTACATTTTAAAGCATTGGTGTGAGAACAAACCTGGGAAGAGAACGAGATTGTAAGTGTATTTTGAAAACAGCTGGTGCCAAAGAAATTATTGTTATACCATGTTACAATAAAATACTGTTATACATTACTCTCCTGACATCTGAAAATAGAACAGGAAGGAAAAAGTGCAGCTTTCAGTCAAACTGACGGATTATTTGTGATTTGTTTCAATCCTTTTGAGTGCAACTTCCCCAAACCGGAAGTTTCTCCCATAATCTAAAACGCACTAGGCTCCTTATGAAAAAGGAGGATATCCTTTTTTTTGGTACAAAATTAACAGTTTAAATAATGAGCAAGTCCATCATAAATTCATCTTCCGAAACGCGTTTTTTTTAAACTCTGAATCACACAATAGTCATATAGTAGTTATTAATGTTTTAGAGCTGTCGGGATGGATTTCCAGGGAAACTGCATACTTAATTCAGTCAGTCAGTCATCCGTGTCTTTAACATCATAACTGCTAATAAAGGAAGGTCAGGCTACTATGCTGCTACTAGACCTTGAACTGAAAGAGTTTGCAAGCAAAAGGGAAAATGACAGTACTCTTAATAAAACACAAACCTGGTTTACAAAACGTTTTTATTATTAACAATGGCTAGTTAAACCAGATAACCTTCAGCAGTCTATTTGCATATAAATAGCCTACTAGCCATTTAATAGTGTTATTAATAGTGTTACCTGATATGAATAGCAATAATGTCAGCATTGCTTTTTAAAACAAAAAGTATATAAGCTGCTTTCCTACTCAATATATGTTTCAGATATTGATATTTCTTTCAAAAATAGAAGTATTTATTTATTTACTGGAATGTGGGAAGCTTTGATGTTGTCAGTGACCATCCACTAATAAAGTGATTATCACCTGTAAGCATGGCCACAGCGGTGCGCCTCAAGCCATCAGATTCATCCGCGCAGAATAGCGGAGCTGAAGCACAAGTCACATAATTACAACAACAATCTTCCTCCGCAAGTAGCATGTAGTTTTACGCTTCAACCGCTAGAGGGCCAAAATAAAATAAAAAAAACAGTCCAAGTTTGAAATCCCGAAAATTAATTGAAAACCAAATGAACGTTTTCAAATAATAATTGTTAAAAACAGAGAGACATGTTTAGGAAAAAATACTAAACTGATCAGTAATTTAGAATAATAATGCATGTAGATATTGGGAAGTGCACTGCTGTTTGTTGTTTATAGAGACCACTGGTGGTGTAGAGAAGATGTTTTGATAGGGTTCACAACATTTACAACATATTTTACTTATTTACTACTTACAGCCGTAATAAGCAATTTCTGAGTGAAGACAATCAGAAAGACATCAATTTAACATTGAATGTGAGCTTATAGTAGTTTGTAGAGGATTCCTGAAACTGGCATGCATTTGTGAGAAAGCTTCTTGACTAGGATGTGGCATCTAGAAATATCACATTTTTAAGGCCTAGTGGTATTGTATCATTATTTACTAATTAGTTAACATTAACAAATGGCATACATATGATCACAACACACTAAAAACATTTTAGCCCCTTCTTTACCTCATCTATTTCCCTAAAAAAAGGCAACAATATTTCAAAACTATGAAGGATTCATAGAGTAATAAAAACATTCCTTATTGCTCATACATTAGACATATGGTCGCTTTCAAACAGTGCAATGATTATTTCCACTTCAAATAAAATGAAGTGCATTAGCTGTCCGGTCCAATGAAGGACAGACAGGAGAAGGGTGTACCAGCCAGGCAGTCTGTGTTAACCACTGCTTGAATCTCACTAAAGAGAGCCTGCTCTCTATTCCCAGTATTCCCTGTTGTCTGTTTCAGCTCTGCCAGCTTCTGTAGTATAGTATGCTTTTCCCTGCCTCTTATAATTCCTCGGAAGTACAGCACAGCTGAGAGATGACCCTTCCTGAAATGAGTAAAACATTGGTTGAAGTAAAGTAAAATGAGCAATGTTACATTAACAGACATGGTAAATCTACAGCCAGTAATATGACTCTCACCTGATATCTGGATAGTTCTCAACTAATGGCTGTAGGTTACTTTTTACATCACTTTTTTTGCACCCAATGATATTGCTCAGCTGGTTCCCGACTGGGTGGAGCCAGTCTAAGGAGGAGTTCTACAAAAAATGATACGTAAGGAACATGTTAGGATGTTTTGATGAAAAGCACAGCTGTACAGAGTGGCATTATGGAGACTGTACCATATCTTGGAAGATCTCCTTCAGTTCCTCCCACTGATTTGTGATCTTACTGGCAGCTGTCTCATTCTTCCTGTTTTTGCATGAGTAGTTATTCTTCATCAGCTGAGATACATATTCTTTCACCACAAAAAAGTGAGTTTCATTCACAAAAGCCTAAAGAGACATAAACAGTGGAAAATGAGAAAAAAATGATGGCACTCTCAAGCTGTAGCAGAGTGGTTACATTAGAGTATATTAATGCAACAAACTGTTTGCACTCTCACCTGCTTATGTTTTGGGGTCATGTACTTGCTCTGTTCAGAAAGAGTCTTAGTTCTGTGGATCAGCTGTAAAAAGTCTTCATCAAATGAAAACCATTTCCCTGTCATCTGTCTCCTGAGGAAGGGCTACAAACAGAAGCTCTTTAATACTTAATATTCACTCACTCCACTATAAACCGTATACATTCAGTTAATTATTCAATTCCAGTCGCATATTCACAGACATTATTTATTAGTGATTCAGTGATTTATTTACTTCTAGAATCCTGCAGATATGTAGTATTGCTTTGTATTCAAATAAATACTTCATAAAAGTTGTTTGCCTGTTATAATCTGCATGACACACAGAGTCTGGTGTGACTCTTAAACTACTGCCATTGTTTAACAATGAGAAAGGTGTGCATTTCAGAAGCTCACACCTTGACATCTGTTTTGAAGTTCTCCATCACAGCTTGACTCAAACTGGTGGTCAGTCTATCTATTTCTTTTTGAACCAACTCCAGCTGAATTGGGCAGGTGTCTTTATAGCTCTCCATGTGCTCTCTGGAGGAAAAAACAAAATTTCTCTGTTTTTTTGGAAATTATACTGTTTTGTAGTACTGTAGTGTCAGCTTTATTTAACTAAATAGTTTATAAAATGTGTTTTTTTTTTCTGTTTGCGGTGTGTATTTTGCTCTTTATGCCCACTTTATGTACAGTACAGTTGTAAAATAAAAAGTATAATAACAATATTTGTTTGCATATATTTTTTGCTTAATCTTTATATACAAAGATGAATTCTTGAAAGGACTGTATACTGACATGTTTTCTGTAAGTAATCTATGTAATGTTACATTGATTTATTCTCCCAGAAATCACAATAGTATTGTAATAGTCTAGTAAAATCATTTAGTTCTCTAACATGAAACACATACAAATGCATTCACCTGGATATAATTATTTGTTAGTGTATGCACTATAGTGTAACACTACCATTATACACTTTGGGGATTGTGAGATTTTTTTAATGTTTTTTGAAAAAAGTCTCCTATGCTTACCAAAGCTGCATTTACTTGATCAAAAAACAGTAATATTGTTGAATATTAATAGAATTCATTATAACTTCTTTATATTTTAATATATTTTTAAAATATAATTTCTTCCTGTGATGGCAAAGTTGAATTTTCAGCATCATTACTCCAGTCTTCAGTATCATATGATCCTTCAGAAATTATTCTAATATGCTGACTTGATGCATACGAAACATTTCTTATTATTATCAGCATTGAAAACAGTTGTGCGGGTTTTCTGTGTAAACTATGATCCGGAATACAAGTATTAATTTCATTAAAAAATCTTAACAAATAATCTTAGTGACCCCAAACCTTTGGTAGTGATTCACATTTGGTAAATGGATTGGATTACAGCTAATAAGCTTAAGGGTTTCAGGTTGTCTAACAACAAAGCAGACAATATGATGAATTTGTCATAATAAAACTGTACTGTAATGCAGTTTTCTGCTTTGTAATATTTAAGAAATAATCAATAATGCATTCACATCTAAAATCTCTTAATTTTATGATTTTTTTTCATATACCCCTCATGTTTAGTTAGAATTTCCCAAGGTCTTTGGTTTAAGTTTTGGAGACACACATCCAATGGTTTCCATCCTTCAGGCATTCCCCGCTGTCAGGGACTTCCCCTGCCAACTGCCTTATTGCCTCTATTGTGTAGCACATATTCCCAGAAATCACGTGACTGATTGTTATGTTAGTTTTTTTATTCATGATACTTAAAACGACTCGCTCAAAAACAGCTGGCACCTAAACTGAGTGATTATGATTATGAAAAGATTAGAATATCAAATGAAAATTCTTCCATCAATATAAATGTGAATGTTACCATGTAGCTTTTCTCCTTCTATTAAAGACCTCCTGGCTTTGGAAACACAAAATCTTTCTAAATGGGTGCTCATTAAATAAAGGAACTAGAATGCAGCTGGCTATATATTATTTCTGCTCCTCCCAAAAAAGTTTAAATGAAAATGACTTTTGGGCATTGTGTTGTGTAAATGACTTACTTCAGGGCACTAAAGCTGTTGATGTAGCTGATGTGATACTCTGCCCAGAGAGAGGAGTTAGAGAGAGGACTGCTCCACTCAACAAATGCTGACTCAAACCTACAGAGACAAGTAACCACAGTCAGTCATACAGAGAATTAAAACAAGCAAACAAAAACAATTAAATACTGCCAAAATTCTATGCAATAAATAAAGAAACGTCTCCAGTTACTATCGTAACCTCGGCTCCCTGAGAGCAGGAACGAGGCATCACGGACACATTTCTCCGTTATGGGAACTCCTTCCCTTACAACCTTTCAGAAGTCCTATTGGCTCACGCCAGTCCAAATGACTGGCCAACTGTCGCGATGTATGCAAATCACATGCAAATACTGACGAGCTCAAGAGGCAGTATAAAATGCGGTGCACGCGACAATTACGTCAGAATCTGATACTGAACGTCCCTTAGCTGGTCGAGCAGCGAACACGGCGACTTCCGTGATGTCTCGTTCCCGCTCTCAGGGAACCGAGGTTACGATAGTAACCGAAGACGTTCCCTCTCGAGCTTTCACGAGACATCACGGAGACATTTCTCCGTTATGGGAACAATATTCAATCCCGCCGTGAGAGAGGCTTCGAGCAGCCTGTACAAGTCACATACTCAGCGAAGATAGAACACACACAATTCCTATAACCAATAGCGATGCTTGTAGGCGGGCTCTCAGCTGATAGGTGGAGATAAGCCAATGAGCCTCTAAAACCCAGGTATGCAATTTGCATATCTGGTCAGTAATAACGTAGGCTGCGCTGAGAACAGGGCAGAAGAAACAACAGTACTAGAAGAGCTGCACAGAGATAACTGTGTTTAAGCAGCATAACACATAACATGATAATGGTAGCACGAAGTGAATCAAACATGAATAACAGGAAGCTGCACTGAGTACAGGGCAGACAACAACAACAATAGCATAGAGTGCCTTGCAGAGTAATACTGTGCAAGGCAGCATAACACACACGAATAGAGGTAGCATGAACGTGAATCAGTCACTCACCGACAGCACTTGGGAAGCTAAGGACTGAACGTCCAGCTTGTAAAACCTGGCAAAGGTATTCTGAGAAGACCAGCCGGCTGCAAAGCATATATCTTGAATAGACTTACCTCTTGACCACGCCCAGGAGGAGGCGATAGCCCTTGTTGAGTGGGCCCTAATGTGCAAAGGGCATTCCAAACCTTGGCTCGTATAAGCAGCCATGATAAGCGATTTATGTGCTACCGGCTCTGAGGTTCTGACCACAGCCCCGAAGCTGACATGCCCTTGCACCAGTGGCGTAACTTTGCTTTGAAAACTCGTTTTGCACTAGCTTACAAAACGTTATTAACAAAAACGAATAAGATGAGGCATGGCATAGGCCTACACGCTGTATTAGGCTACATAATGACTAATAAATTACAGAAGGTTTAGCAAACACTGAGGGATAAAAAAAAAAAGAAAAAAGAGAGAGCCTTAGCCCACTTGATTTTGTAATATTCTTTAATTTTGTAGTCCGTATAAAAAGGTGCATTTCTATTAAAGGCACGTCCATGTGGAGATGGTGAGTCAGCGTCGGCATTCGGCAACCTTATCTTTGCACTCGACACTGACTCAGAAAGCACTAGTTTATTAATAAATAATTAAAATGTCTTCTTTTCCCCCGACACGTTCATAATCACTTTGCCGGTGCTTTGAGGCAATTGCTTTATGCGCGAGCTTGAGTGCGGAATAGGCTCTAGCCTAATACGTCTGCCTATAGCCTATATTGAAGTATGGTTAATATATTATTATATTAATCAATTTAATATAACGTGCGACTAGTTGACTAGAAAAATCTTTAATAGAGGGCAGGCCTACTTAGCACAAGGAAGCTCTCCATTTTTAAAATACAATGCTATAGCCTAATGACATTACGAAAAAAGCGACAGCTGCAAATCATGTCGTTATTACGAGTTATGCATGCATAAGGAGTAGGTTTAAGAAGTGGTCTTTTACTTGACTTAAGCGTGAAAACCATCAATATTCGCGTCATTTTTGCTGAGCATACCTTCTGCAATTAATAGTAAATATAACCAAAACTGGTTATTATAATTTTTATATGCATAATAAAATAAATATAAGGAAAACTTGCCCACTCGATTTTGTAATATTCTTTAATTTTGTAGTCCGTATAAAAAGGTGCATTTCTATTAAAGGCACGTCCATGTGGAGATGGTGAGTCAGCGTCGGCATTCGGCAACCTCATCTTTGCACCCGACACTGACTCAGAAAGCACTAGTTTATTAATAAATAATTAAAATGTCTTCTTTTCCCCCGACACGTTCATAATCACTTTGCCGGTGCTTTGAGGCAATTGCTTTATGCGCGAGCTTGAGTGCGGAATAGGCTCTAGCCTAATACGTCTGCCTATAGCCTATATTGAAGTATGGTTAATATATTATTATATTAATCAATTTAATATAACGTGCGACTAGTTGACTAGAAAAATCTTTAATAGAGGGCAGGCCTACTTAGCACAAGGAAGCTCTCCATTTTTAAAATACAATGCTATAGCCTAATGACATTACGAAAAAAGCGACAGCTGCAAATCATGTCGTTATTACGAGTTATGCATGCATAAGGAGTAAAATGTTGTTGTTGTTGTTTTTTATCAGCCTAATTAGATTATGAAGAATGATTTGTTGATCTTGTTTTCCCTTTAATACATACCTTCCGCAATATATTTTTCAATTCATTTCAAAAAGTGGTAGGGACAATATCGACCCTGGCAAAAAGTGGTGGGGACATGTCCCACCCGTCCCACCTGAAAATTACGCCTATGCCTTGCACACTGCTCCCCATCCGCGAGTCGATGCGTCCGTCGTGACCACGACGCACGACATCACCAAGCCCTGGGGAACTCCCCGGCTGAAGAGATCTGGGTTGCGCCATGGCCTCAGAGCTTTGATGCAGCCGCGGAGACCGCGATGCACAAATGGCCCAAAGTCCACACCGTCCAAGGGACTAAAGATTTCAGCCATAACTGCAGCGGGTGCATGTGTAGTAAGCCCAGGGGAGTCACAGGAGCGTTCAGCAGCACTTTACGGTCAGCATCCTTGAGGTCAACCAGGTTTAACCATAGGGGCCTCTGAAGGACGACCATAAAACCCATGGCCTTTCCCACGGCATGGCCTTTTCCACGGCCTCGCATTGTCGCCAGCAGCATGAAGTCCATCGCCGCACGCTGATCCTTAATAGCCTCCGCAGTGAGGGCTCTGCCCTCCGCCACCTGCAGGAGCTTCGCCTGGAAAACCTGCAGCACTGCCATGGCGTGCAGCGCGGAAGCCACCCCGCCATCAGACGCACACGCTTTATTAGACGAAGCAGCGTGTCTATATGGCTGACTAGCGTGTCCCGGGACTGAGCTAAAATCAGCCAATCGTCCAGATAGTTGAGATCGCGCATCCCGCTCGCTCTGAGGGGGGAAAATGCTGCATCCATGCACTTCGAGAAAGTGCGTGGGGCCAAAGCTAGCCTGAACGGGAGAAGAGAGTATTGGTACGCTGTGCCCTCGAAAGCAAACCTCAGAAAGTGTCTGTGATGCGGTGTTATCTGAATGTGAAAGTACGCGTCCTTTAAGTCCACGGACGCAAACCACTCCCCGGGGCGAATTTGCAGCAGGATCTGTTTCAGCGTTATCATCCTGAACGGACGCTTGCAAAGCGCTCTGTTGATGGGCCTGAGATCTAGAATCGGGCGGAGTCCCCCGTCTCTTTTGGGTACCACGAAATAGCGGCTGTAAAACCCGCTCTCCAGCTCGCTGGGAGGGACTCGTTCTATCGCTCCTTTTTCGAGCAGACTGCATACCTCTTGTCTCAGAACCAGGGCGTTTCGGGGCAATGTTAGAGACTGCACCACGCCATTGAAACGGGGTGGTCTGCGTCTGAATTGAAGGGTATACCCACGCTCTATCACACCGAGTAGCCAGCGCGAGATTCCCAGAATAACTTCCCACGCGCTCAGGAACTGACAAAGTGGCTTTAGCAGCTTGGTCGTTTGATGCGCCGGCGAGTGCTGCATGACTATAACCTGTGTGGGTGGCCGCTGCGCACTGCTCTGAGGCGGGGCGAGCGGCGTGGCATTGACTGAGTGAGGAGGAAAGAGCTCTTTTTGTGAGAGTGCATGCATTTTTATTGAATGAACATCCAACACACAAACATTTGAACACATGAACTTGTGGCTCTTGGGAGCCGGGCCCCTCGCGCACTCTCCTCCTCTCTTCAGGACAACGGCTTAGCAGCCGGGGGCAGGCAAGAGTCACGTCACCGGCTCCTCCGCTGGCCGTGGTGCTTCCTCCGGACATCCGGCTCCTGGCGAGGAGCAGTAGCAGTCACCGCCGCGGTCGCTGACCTGGGGTTATCCCTCCATTGGGAAGAGCCAGGTGCCGACGAGGACCTGGATCTCGCCGTCTGCTGCTGGAAAGCAAGCCTCCGCCTCGCCATCAGACGCATACGCTTTATTAGCGAGGTGGGCGGTGGTCCTGCACGGCTTCGAGGGGAGGCTGATGTCTGAGTCTAGGGTCTTGGTTGCTGCAGGACACCTCGACTGGGGGAGAGTGCACATACCCGTGGGCCTCCGCTCCATCCACGTGGGAAAAGATGGCCTGTGTGGCAGAGTGGACGCACGCCAATTGGGGCGCAGACCACGTTTTCACCAGCTGCTCGTGTACGTCGGTGAAGAAGGGGACCAACGCCCTCGAGTCAGTTTTCCGGGTGGACCTGAAATACCAGGAGTCGAGCTTACTCCTGGCAGCGGCGTGGCATTGACTGAGTGAGGAGGAAAGAGCTCTTTTTGTGAGAGTGCATGCATTTTTATTGAATGAACATCCAACACACAAACATTTGAACACATGAACTTGTGGCTCTTGGGAGCCGGGCCCCTCGCGCACTCTCCTCCTCTCTTCAGGACAACGGCTTAGCAGCCGGGGGCAGGCAAGACTCCCGTCACCGGCTCCTCCGCTGGCCGTGGTGCTTCCTCCGGACATCCGGCTCCTGGCGAGGAGCAGTAGCAGTCACCGCCGCGGTCGCTGACCTGGGGTTATCCCTCCATTGGGAAGAGCCAGGTGCCGACGAGGACCTGGATCTCGCCGTCTGCTGCTGGAAAGCAAGCCTCGGCATCACGTGACTCATGGCTTTGGCGCGCTTTTGAGCCTCCGCGAAGCGTTCAATAATGGACTCCACGGCGTCACCAAAGAGGCCGGAGGGAGTCACAGGAGCGTTCAGCAGCACTTTACGGTCAGCATCCTTGAGGTCAACCAGGTTTAACCATAGGGGCCTCTGAAGGACGACCATAAAACCCATGGCCTTTCCCACGGCATGGCCTTTTCCACGGCCTCGCATTGTCGCCAGCAGCATGAAGTCCATCGCCGCACGCTGATCCTTAATAGCCTCCGCAGTGAGGGCTCTGCCCTCCGCCACCTGCAGGAGCTTCGCCTGGAAAACCTGCAGCACTGCCATGGCGTGCAGCGCGGAAGCCACCCCGCCATCAGACGCACACGCTTTATTAGCGAGGTGGGCGGTGGTCCTGCACGGCTTCGAGGGGAGGCTGATGTCTGAGTCTAGGGTCTTGGTTGCTGCAGGACACCTCGACTGGGGGAGAGTGCACATACCCGTGGGCCTCCGCTCCATCCACGTGGGAAAAGATGGCCTGTGTGGCAGAGTGGACGCACGCCAATTGGGGCGCAGACCACGTTTTCACCAGCTGCTCGTGTACGTCGGTGAAGAAGGGGACCAACGCCCTCGAGTCAGTTTTCCGGGTGGACCTGAAATACCAGGAGTCGAGCTTACTCCTGGCAGGCTTCTCTGGAGGACTCCAGGAAATTCCAACTCCTGGACAGCCTTCGACAGAAACCTTATGAGCTCCTCCTGGAGGTCTGGGGATCCCATGCTGTCCGGTTGATTGGGCTCCGATCCCACCCTATCCTCCCTCTCCGAGGCCGAGATGGACATCGAGTCATCCCCCTCCTCCTGGCCAAAGGACACAAACTTCGCGATGTTGGAAGGAGGGCGGAAGCAGTCCTCGGGGAAGGAAACCGGGGAACAGGGTGATCGTTGGGGTTGGCGGAGCGGCAAGACGACGCTTCCATCACCAGGAGCGAGAGGGCCCACCAGCGGCATGCTGGCGGCAGTTGGCCTCACCCCGAATAGCCGGAGCACGTGGGCCGGCAGGTCCGCATAATGCCCACAGTCGGACTCGTCCAGCGCCGCCTCGGCGTGGGCCATGCCCAGGCAGGCGACGCAGTGGTCGTGTTGATCCGGCAGCTCTATTGGTCCTGCGCAGTTCTTGCAGAATGTAGCCATAATGAATTCAACAGGTGAAGTAGAAGATTCTGACGTGATTGTCACGTGCACCGCATTTTATACTGCCTCTTGAGCTCGTCAGTATTTGCATGTGACTAGCATACGTCGTGACAATTGGCCAGTCATCCTTCTGAGGACAATGTTTGACTAATGTAGTAACGCTCCGGTTACTATCGTAACCTCGTTTCCCTGAGAGCGGGAACGAGACATCACGGAAGTCGCCGTGTTCGCTGCTCGACCAGCTAAGGGACGTTCAGTATCAGATTCTGACGTAATTGTCGCGTGCACCGCATTTTATACTGCCTCTTGAGCTCGTCAGTATTTGCATGTGACTAGCATACGTCGTGACAATTGGCCAGTCATTTGGACTGGCGTGAGCCAATAGGACTTCAGAAAGGTTGGAAGGGAAGGAGTTCCTATAATGGAGAAATGTCTCTGTGATGTCTCGTGAAAGCTCGAGAGGGAACCCGGAAATTATATGCTAATCTTTTTTTCCTATAATAACTGTCAAATTAGCACATAAAGATATAACAGCCATTAAGTGAAATAAACTTGATTAGCTGTCCCCTGTACAAAAAATTTAGACTACAGAAGCTTTTAGAGTTATAGAATTACAAAACTGACTTCCAATTAGCATATTATTTCTTTATCACAAACCGTTTTGGAAAGGTCTTCAGTTCCTCTAAACAGGAACGCACAACCTTCTGCTCAAGGTTCACATCGATTCTTCTGGATCCTTGTACATGCCCTTTAATATTCTGGGAAAGAAAACATCATAAATGTGTTTTTGTAACCTTGTGCTGTTTTTTTTTTAATTACAGTGTCCTCAAAAAGATTTGGGCACTTAAACCACTTAGAAATGTCTAAATGTCATTGAATTAAGACTTTAAAAAAATACTTAAACTAAGTGGCAGCTGCACACAAATGATGCTAGAATTAACTTTTTTACAATAACACAGATCAGTACTCTGAACAATTCACAAACATTTTATCATTTAAAACTGAACAAACTTCTTTGTGTGAAATTGTTTACTTGAAAAGTGAAAAAAATTAAAACATTACAGTGGCTTAATGCTGCCTCCATGTGTTATCACAGTTATCAAATATAAGAGTCTATGAGAAACTTGGAGATAATTTTGATACCAGTGTTTCCAAGTTGGCCGGGCGGTGGGCCATAAACTTTAAGGAGGAGGAAACCATTGCTGTAGTAACTGTTAAGTTCTATCAATTTTTCCTTTAATATCTACATTGCTTTTTCTTGCAATTACAGTCAACCCTCTACATTGTGAGTAAATCACTCGCATATGCGACTAAATCTTCACTCTCTGCGACTAAACAATGTCTAATATTAGCCAATGGCTAATAAATTCTCAGATTTTACTCACCAGTGTGTGAGTTGGAGGCTAAGTATAAGTTTAGCACAGATGTATTTTCACTCACCGAACACTCTGACTGAGCGCTTCAGAGTTTCACTCTCCGTCAAGCGATCTGTGCTATTTTTCAGTTCATCTCAGTGGACGCGCAGTGCGCCTGTATTTGACGTACCGTAAACTCTAGTGTAACGGTCGCTTTGATGAGAGCAGAGAGAGAGCAAGAGAGTCTTGAAGAATTGACGCGCTACATGTAAACGATATTCTCTGTTGTATTTTCCTGTCAAAATAACAGCATTCCTTTGGATTTTTTAAAAAATTACTTAAATGTCCTAATTGAACTATTGCCTAGTCCTGGCTTAGTCTAAGCCCTGTCTGTGAAACCAGGCCATACAATATTATACAGTGTGAATATATATATATATATATATACATATATATATATATATATTAGGACTGTCAACGTTAACGCGTTAACGCATGCGATTAATTTTACAACCCTTAATGCGTTAGCTCTGTCATATTCTGTGATTGTCTCTGAAGAGTGCGAGCCCTCATACGTCGTGCTGTGTGGACTGAACGGATTGTCAACACATTGTAGCGTCTGGACCAATCAGACACACAATATATATATTTTTTAGTTATACTTAACAAATTCTCTGTATTACAGATTCTCTCTAAATCCTTAAGGTTTCTTGGCTGTTGTTTGCCAACTCGAATTTTCAGCTCCCTCCACAGATTTTCTACAGGATTGAGGTCTGGAGGCTGGCTAGGCCACTCCATGACTTTAATGTGCTTCTTCTTGAGCCACTCCTCTGTTGCCTTGGCGGTATGTTTCGGGTCATTGTCATGCTGGAAGACCCGTCCATGACCCATCTTCAGTGTTCTGGCTGAGGGATGGAGGTTCTCGTCCAAGATTTTACAGTACATGGCCCCGTCCAGTTGCCCCTCAATGCGGTGAAGTCGTCCTGTACCCTTAGCAGAAAAACAGCCCCAAAGCATAATGTTTCCACCTCAGTGCTTGACTGTAGGGATGGTGTTCTTGGGGTCATAGTCAGCATTTCTCTCCCTCCAAACACGGCGAGTCGAGTTAA